AAACGACCTGCAACTAGGGTTTGGATGCCATGAAAGCTCCCATGCACGAGCAACTTTCCACCTCTCTGTTCTCATCCTACACGCCACTAATCCACATGCCATGAACATGAAATCTGTTCCAAATCTCTCCCTCTACAAGATTAGGGCATCAATTCGTCTTGAACTTCACCACATCAACAAATTCGATTGAATCACATACTGACCACCATTGAAATGCACTGATATGCATCATCACCAATCTTCCTCAAACCTAGCCTAAATTAAACTACATCTAATGGAGATTAACATATGCTATCAAGTTGCAATTATAACACATTCATCCAAGAGATTCGAACACAAACAGATCATGGCACCTGTCACTAATCATCACCAAATCTCTCCAAATTCTTCTAACTTAATCTCCTAACCACCTAGATCAATTCTACACTAACAAAATCATGCCTAACTAACTGGATCAAGCAGTTTGAATGAAAACTTACCTTGTGTAAAATCTTGCAAACAGCTATGGATATTGATGATTTGAAGCTTTTGAGACTTGGATCTTGATCAATCCTTGATGAACTTGACTCTGTATGCAAGCTTTGAATGAGATTTGGCCAGAATTATGCTATCCACTTGACTTGGCAACTTTGATATCCTTGCAAGAAGCACTCGAAAATGGATGATAATCACTTGATCCTTGCTTCAATTCTGATCTATGATGATCATGGAGCACAATTGAATCAATATGGATGATGATTTTGTGAAGATTTTGAGAGAATTACAATGAAACTCCAATGAAAAAGTGTGAGAAATTATGTGAAATTCTTGGTGCAAATGAGGCCAACCCTTGCCAAATTCTCCTTTCATGAATATATAGACCCCAAATGAACATTCTAGATCCATCTTGCACATTCCCTTGTTTTCAAATTTTGGCTCATTTTTGATTATGTTTCTTAAATGATAAGCAACCATGGATAACTTCATTTTTTCCTTCTAAACTCAAAAAAGTGGGTGAACCATTGTTCTTAGAATTGTTTTTCCATTCAAAATCATATATTGGAAGTCTCCATTTGGACTTGTAAATCTCCCAAACCATTTTCCAACTTGAAATTATTCACTTTATAAGCCTTTTTAGTTCATATTTTGACCAACCATGCAACTCCATGCTATGAGCTTCTCCAATAACTTGTGACCTTCTTTCTAGACTTAAAATCCCATTTGGAGCAAGTTTGATGTTGTAAGTTTTTCCATTTGAGGCCTCCTTGTATGAGTTTTGGGTATAGGTTAAAATGACCTGTAATTCCCAAATGCCCAAAATACCCTTTGCTTGTCAAGACCATAAGTTGAGTTCTCCACATCATATGAAGGCATGCCATACCATTCTAGAAAGCTAAGACAATGAGGAACAACTCTTATGTTGACCAAGAATTCATTTGAAATCTCCTTGAGGGGTAAAACTAGCTTGGAAGTCAGGTCACTTTCACAGACAAAAATTCAGACACCTCAGATGACCTGTAACTTGCAAGGACCATAACTTGAGTTCCATAAATCTCCTTGAGGTCTTCCACCACTCAAATTAAAGGTCTTGAGATCCTCTACAAGTTTCATGTTGGCCAAGAAGCCATTTGAAGCTAGCATTTTGACTTATCTTGCTTGGAAATTTGACCTAAACTAGGGGATTTTACAGAGAAACCCTAATTTAGTAACTCCTCTTCTCCTTGATTTTTCTTGAATTCTCCTTGTCATATCTCCATATCTTTATTCTCCATGTCCAATATTGATCCCCACATCTCTCCAATAGCCTTGAATGCTCTTTTAAGTCAGTCAATTGACCTAGGGTTGACCTAGGGTTGACCCAGATGAAACCCTAGTTGACTGTCTTCAACTATAGCTCTTGTGCCTTCATCCATGACTTGTTTTCTTCTCCAAATGACTTTGTAAGTCTCTCAAGATGCCTAGATGCTCTCCATGTCTTCATTTCACAGCTCACAACCCTCTTGTTGATCCTCAGATACCCTCAGCTAGGAGAGGGACTCAAGGCTTGATCTGCTGAACTCTTTGCTTTCAAATTCTCTCCTGATGACTTGAATATGACTGAATTGGAATAATAACCTCTTGCTAGGCCTCTAGAGATGAAAACAATGATTGGTCCCCTGTTGAATGACTTGCTATGCTTATGCTATGCAGATGGTTAGTCTATGTACATGATTCTACATGCAAATGCTAATGATAATGAAACATAAATCCAAGGAATAAGGTTGAGCAAATTTTAGGGTGCAACACATGTATAAAATTGCATAAGTACTACATGCCTATATTCCACAGTTTTCACTACGTCAATACACTTAGACGCATACACTCACACCTAATCATCCATCTATTAATCAATGTCCCTCACATTTATTTATTCGCTAACCGCATCACATCCATTCCTGCACACATGCGTATTACATATAACAACCGCAACCATGTCGTGCGATTCGTATAATACTCATCTAATATCCTCAATCCTCTTTCCGGGTTATGGGCATATCGCTCATGCCCTACCGGGAACAACATCTCAGTCAAATCCAAATTTGAGCCCGTGTACATTCCCCCGCGATCTTTGTCTAGAGGGAGTTGAGGTTTATGACTAGCCTGTATCTGAATTGAACCCTGGTGTTTCGAACTTTGTAGATCCGTCTACGCCGTCGGTGTACCTTCACGATGGATCAGGGTCGTCATGAATGACCGACCAGAGGTGGATCGAGGCTTGATGGATTTGAACAGTTCAGATATGGGATTTTAGATTCTTGAGACTCTGATTTCTTTGTCTGAGACGCTTTCAAAGTTTATATTTAAGGATCCAACGTGGAGTCGTGGAAAACACAGGAGTCAAAAATCGATTCCCACAAACGGTGCCACTATTTTGTTGCGGAACCAGAAATGGTGAGGAATGCAGAAACTACGACGAAGCAAATGTTCCGATGCACTACGTCGATGTGGCAATGTGGGTCGAAGGTTGCAATCACAATGCTTTTTCACCATATGTATTATTCTTGGTGCGATGCCATTAACTAGTGTTTGTTATCTCCTATACCCTGGACCTAAGGGGTACCTGCATGGTTATCACTCAAACGCCTAAGTTAGTTTAGGATTCAAGATAGTGGTAGTAAAAGTGGAGATTAGAGATCGTGTACCTGAAAACCCTATACAAAGGTAGTTGTACATTGGTTGGTGTGGCGAGTTGGATAATGAGTCTCGTGTTATTGGATATTCGATCGACACAAAGTAGTGGGTCTAGGATATTTGGCCGACACATAACAGTGGGTCTCAGGTCTTTGACCAACACGAAACAAAAAACAAAAATTAAGTGAGCGATAAAAAAAGGCAATCACACGTGGGATGGATTACATTGAGGAAGGCTAGGGTTATAACAACAAAGTAGGAACAAAAACTATGATAAAGTCTACATAAAAAAAATCTAATAAAACACGTTGAAGCAACATATCAAAAAATAAAACAAAGTACATTTGAATTATCTATTTTCTCGAGAATAAACTCTAGAAGCCTTGCCTAATTACTTATATTTTAAAATATACATGCAATTTTTAAGAGATTTAACTATTATCAAACCGATTTCAATATGTAGAAGCCATTAATCGTCACGAAATGTAAAATATATAGTGAAAGAGAAAAATACAAAACAACAAACATTGAAACAAAGTGACAAACTAATTGATAACAAAATTAATAATATTACACGACATGAAAGTAACATATTGCATACAAATAATGGAAGGAGATCATGGACTTTATTTTAGAAATCATCAAACATAAGCAAATTGAAAAATACAATTTTTTTTTTGTTGGCATGTGAAAAAAAAAGTTAAATGTGGACGAAATTAGACAAAAACTTTTAGGCGGGATAATAAAATAGTCGGGCGCCTTAACGTGGTAACTAATTATTCTTTTCATAATATAAAATAATAAAATATTTACGCTTCTTAACACATTAACTAATAATCCTTTATATCAGAGAAGTTATTTGGCGGGATAATGAAATGTCTACGCGCCTTAATACGGTAACTAATTATTCTTTCTTAATATGTAATAACGAAATATTTACGCTCCTTAACACACTAACTAATAATCATTTCTTACACGAGAGTTATTTGGCGGAATAATGAAATATTTACGCGCCTTAATACAAATAATATGTAGCCGCCTTAACGCGGGAATTAGTTATTTTTTCTTAACATAAAATAATGAAATATTTACACTCTTTAACACGTTAACAAATAACTATTTCTTACGCGGGAGTTGTTTGACATGATAATTAAATATTTACGCACGTTAATACAATAATAATTAATTAATACTTTTTAACGCGGGATAATGAAATATTTACGCGCCTAAAGGCGGGTTATGTGTATAAAAGATTTTTAAATGTTTATAGTTTTATTCAATTTAAATTTAAATTTGGGTCCTCAAGCATTTTCAAGTGTTTTGTTTTTCTCCAAAAATAAGGCAGCCAAAAAAACCATTCCCCAAAACCGAGCACCAAATTCTCCCACTTTCTACCCGTTTTCTCCTCCAATAAAGATCTACAGGACCCCAAAATGTTTCTCCACAAGTTAAATTCCGTTGCTGAAAGTGAATCCATCTCCTTAAGCCCCTTCACTCACTTACTCACAGAGACCGTATATAGCTTAGCGTCAAATCAAATCAAAATCACTCCTATTTACGTGCTCCCTTCATTCCGTTCCCCCCTCTTCTTTCAAACTCCTCCTCTAGCTTCATATTCAAGCTGTCTTTTCCGCCTTTATCTTTATTTTAATTTTATTTTCCACAATAATAATTATTATTTCAACTCAATAAATACTAGAAGTTTTTTGTTGTCACAATAAAAAGATAAAAAAAAGTCCAAACTGTTCTCTCTCCCTGAACCCTCTCTCTCTATCTCTCTCTAGAATCTCCGCGTCTAGGGTTTTTGTTACTCTAGGGTTTAATCACTGTCAGTGTTCTTCTTCTTAGCCATGGCCGCTGAGAAGCTCAGAGATTTGAGCCAACCTATTGATGTGCCCTTACTCGATGCTACCGTCGCCGCCTTCTACGGCACCGGATCTAAGCTAGAGGCCAGTCACCATCTCCACTTTCAATTTTCTATATTTTCTTTTTTCTTCAACAATGTCACGAGCACTGCAATGAATAATGCGCACTTTAGGTCTCATCAGTTTTTCACTGTTCGTCTTGTTTTTAAACTGATTAACTCTCGTTAGTTCGTTGTATGATTTATCATAATCGATTGAATTGAGCAAGACACGAATTCCACTGTGGTTGATAATTGATGTAGTATATATGTGATTGATTAATAGTCTTGTGAACATTGAGCTTTTTTTCGTTTTAGATAATGTGATGCTGTTTACGGCTGTTTTGTTTATCGATTTTGTATGTTCTTAGTTTAACGTTTTTAGTGTGTTCGTTTTGACTGTGCAGAGAAGTGCTGCTGATTCAATTTTGCGGGATTTGCAAGAGAATCCTGATATGTGGCTTCAAGTTATGCATATCTTGCAGAATACTCAAAATCTCAATACCAAGTTCTTTGCATTGCAGGTTGGTTTGTTTAATGAACTCCTCTGGGTTAATGTTAGGAGGGGTGGATCGAAATTTTTCAAAATAAAATATGGATTTTGATTTATGATTTCCTGCAAAATATTATGGCTTCAATTATAGTAGATAATAAAAAGTCTATATCTATGTGTAGTCAATGCAAGTGACAATTTTTGTCTTTGTCCGAAACAACTCTCTAATTTTTTTGGTTTTATAATGCAAAAACTCTAATTGATTTGTTACATGATCAAGATTTGTGTGCTGGGTTGGTGGATTAACACTGCACTTAATTTGAAAGCATACGTACTCTAAACTTTAAAGCACTAAAAGTGAGGTACTTCAGTTTGTAATTATGTGAGATTTAAATGAAAGTACCTGTAGCTGAAAGTGTGGTCTTGAATATATAGCTTATATTTTCTGAAACTTCTTTTTGTAGCCATTTGCCAAGAGACTGGCTTATGTCAAAAATGTTCATGCCACATCACTTTGTTTGATCGACCTATTGACTCGATATTCGTTTGACTACTGTGTTTATGTTTTCATATTTGTTTTAAATGGACTACTTAGTTCTGTCCTCTGCAGTCTACTTACTGTTGGAACTTTGCCTTTGGAAACAATGCTTATTAAATGTCAAGCAAGTTTTTCATCTCTTATGAGAATATTATGTCAGCTGCCTTTCTTAGTTTATGTTTTCTCTATTCTTGTACATTATATTCAGGTTCTTGAAGGTGTCATTAAATATAGATGGAATGCATTACCTGCTGAGCAGCGAGACGGGATGAAGAATTTCATCTCGGATATCATTGTACAGGTATCAGCTGTATTTGGCGAAAGCAGTTATTTGTGTTGAGCTAGTCAGGCATACATAGTTTTTCTCATTTAGTACTTGTTTTTTGTGCATCGTTGATCTTATTGTTGGTTTTTCTCGCATAGCTTTCCAGCAATGAGGCCTCATTTCGGACGGAAAGGTTGTATGTCAACAAACTCAATATTATATTAGTTCAGGTAAACAGTGCAGTTTCTTAACATTGACTAATAGTTCCGGTGTTTTTTAAGTCCTGAAACCCATGTTTCTATGGTTAATTCTTATGCTTTCCTTTTATACACACATTCATTCATCTTAAGATGATTTGTACTTAAATGCTTTATGTAATGGTGGGTGTGTCTCACACGCAGATTTTGAAGCATGAGTGGCCAGCAAGATGGCGAAGCTTTATTCCTGATCTTGTCTCAGCAGCTAAAGCTAGTGAAACAATCTGTGAGAATTGCATGGCTATATTGAAAGTAAGTCTATCTCACTTTTCATTAAACTATGTTGCTTATGTCAATGCACTGACTAACCTAAAAAATGGTTGTTCAGCTTTTGAGTGAAGAGGTTTTTGATTTTTCGAGAGGAGAAATGACACAGCAGAAGATTAAAGAGCTTAAACAGTCATTAAACAGGTAGCTGTTGATAGCCTCAATATCTATGTATTATTTTCTGCTTTCCATATCACTCATCTTTCTTCTAAGTTGGGTGTCTGAAAGATTGAGTTTTAATTACTTGTTGTACATTAATGGATTCATTAGGCTGCATTCTTAAAATCCTCACCTGTGATGTTCTATAACTTTTTGTGTACACTTGATTCTTGGAATGTGCTCTATAGATTTAAAGACTAGCAAGTGTTAATAACTGCATATATAAGTGGCTAGGTAATTGGTTTTAACTAATGAGTGGGAAAATATATTGTAGTTTGGATTTGTATTGCCTTAATTGTGATTTGGTAACTGCTTTTCTGGCCTGTAAGAGTTAGGCTGGGGCGATTGACATCCAACACTCCGGTTGGTGATCAGTAATTACTTAGTCTCTCTAGAACATGAATACTTTTAGGCAAGTTACATACAAGAGAATTGTTTTCTAATCCAGGAATTATCACTAAAAGATGACGGCCCTTGCACGAGGCTCCAACCAGGTGGGGTCTTCGTAGCAAAGATGCATACAGACTTGTCCTCAATAGGTGCTAGAGGGGATGCTGGTTGTAGATTTCAACTGGAATCTACTTTTTGACTTGATTACTTACTGATTTGCTTACGATCTGGAAATATTTTTGCTCAAAATTCCGCTGTTTAAGTTTACCATTAAGTTTTCAACTTGAGGGTAGTCAAACAACTAGAGATAGAGGAATACCTAGAAAAACTATACATTAGGATTTAGGAAATACCTCAAGATTAACGAGTTGGATAGAAATATGGTTTTTGATAGAACACGGTGTAGTTTGATCCATGTATGTGATCTCATTTAGTGAGATGAGACTCGGTTGTTGCTATATAATATAATGATGTTCTGGAGTTTATTATATAAATTGGCTTGATTACATACTTGATGCTTTCCCTTGTTATAATTATCCTGAGAGCATAAGCTATTAATTAGGTGGAAGCTTGGTAATGATTTTTATTTATCTACCTTTACTTTCTCCGAAGTGTCTATCTTTTGCTAAGAATTATAATTGATTGTTTGCAGTGAATTTCAACTCATACACGAGTTGTGCTTATACGTTCTATCAGCATCTCAAAGGGCTGAGCTCATACGTGCTACACTGTCAACATTGCATGCCTTCTTATCATGGATTCCCTTGGGTTATATATTTGAATCCCCGTTGGTAGGTTCTTTTGTCTGCTCAAATTGAATTTGTTGTTGAGGAACTCACTAACCGAAATATTTAACTTTTGTCTCTCAGCTTGAGACACTCCTAAAGTTTTTCCCGGTTCCAGCATATCGGAACCTAACGTTGCAATGTTTATCTGAGGTATTATCCATCCTTCCAGTTCTGATGTTTTTACTTGAATTTTTATTATAGCAATATTCACTTTTTATGTTTCCAGGTGGCATCCCTTCAATTTGGGGATTATTATGATGTGCAGTATGTCAAGATGTATGGTATATTCATAGGTCAATTGCAGGTGTGTTTGATTGATCTCCTTTGTGTAGCATGTACGTCATTCTTAGGCTTATTCATTTGATTATGCTTGAGCATTTTGGCTGACTGTGATTATGTAAAATATAGAACATACTCCCGCCTACAACAAATATACCCGAGGCATATGCACATGGCTCTACTGAAGAACAAGTGGGTTTTTACTGAAACAAGATGCTTAATTTGCTTTAATTAATTTTGAGGTATTTGTCTTACCAAGGTTTTTTCCGCTGTTTAGGATTTTATACAGAACCTGGCACTGTTCTTCACTTCATTTTATAAGGTTAGATTTTTAAAGTTTCATGTCTTAAATTTTATTTTGTGATGCATAATCATCAAACGACTTAACTAAACTGTGTGTAAGAATGTTACTTTGCTGAGGCTGGTTTATTTAAGCTGAATTTTTTACTATATCATATTTGGGCTTGTTCAAGAATAGATTCTGCATTATTGGTTTGCTTGCTGGGTGTCTCTCTGGTAAAAATATTCCGACACTTTTATTTATGCAGGTTCATATCCGCATCCTAGAATCCACTCAAGAGAATATATCAGCTTTGCTGTTGGGCCTTGAATATCTTATCAGCATTTCATATGTTGATGATACTGAGGTTTTTAAGGTACGTGCATACTGCATCTGTGTCCCAGTCTCCTGTTCCAAATACCCAAATTGATACTGTATCTGATTTGTTGAAAATGATAGGTGTGTTTGGACTACTGGAATTCCTTAGTGTCTGAGCTGTTTGAGCCGCACCGAAGTTTGGATAATCCTGCAGCTTCTGCAAACTTAATGGGACTTCAGGTGCTGTGAAACTTAAAATATGACTTGTGGATTGTTAAAATCAAGAATTGGCAATCTCTTTTACCTAGTGTCTTTAATATAATGTTTCATTTTTAATGCATGTCCTTTTGTTTTTAGTGTTCTTAAGAGTCTCACTGTTTAGAATGCTTGTTATTATTGGATAAAGAACTAATACCTGGTTGGAAAGTGACTAATTAAATTAGTAAAATCAATAATATGATTAGATGTGATCATAATCATCCTAGTTACTATTAACAATTTTGCTTATTTTGCTCACTTTTCCTCGACTTAATCTATGTTTTTTGGTTTTATTTAAACAATTTTAAAACATGCTTGTGGTGTTTACTACCACTAATCTTCATGTTATAAAAAGGACCCATTTTAGAATTTATGACATGCACACAGTAGGTCTTAAAGTGAAAATCCTAACAATTTTATATATATGTCTCTTGTGTGTTTCTAGTATTTCTTTTCTCATTTATGAGAAAGGTGTCTGTGTATAAGTCTTACTGATGTATTTTTCTCAATGGAGCAAGCAGGTAGCAGGAATGCTTCCTGGTATGGTTGATGGGCATGGTTCTCCGCTTCTTCAACGCCGACAGCTTTATTCTGGTTCTATGTCAAAGTTGAGGATGCTAATGATCTGCCGAATGGCTAAACCTGAAGAGGTTCTCATAGTTGAAGATGAAAATGGGAATATTGTCCGTGAGACCATGAAGGACAATGATGTTCTTGTTCAATATAAGGTTATAAGCTGATATCTAAGCTCTGCTAGATTTTAGTGTCTGATATTCATTCATATCTTTGTGGAGAAAGTGTCTAGTAGTTACTTCCCTTTTATATATTTTATTTTTATTGATTGCTTTCAATCATCAACTCAAATTCTCAAATGTTTAATTATACAGATTATGAGGGAGACTCTTATTTACTTGTCACATCTTGACCATGAAGATACTGAAAAACAGGTATATGAACCCAAAACCACCCTTTTATTTTGGTCCAAAGGCAATCACATTATATTGTGGTTTGTTTTTTTGATCAGTTTTAGTTTTTATTTTTGGGACATCTATATTTGTTTAAAATATGAAATGATTTGTTATTTGTCTATTTATGAACTACGATAGCAACTTTCATGAAATATGACTTTAATGACCTAAAGTTGAATTGAATAACCTAAAAATGCAACATTATATTAGTATGCTGTTTTGGTTAAGAGTGATAGGGATGTAATGGCCACCTATCATACACTTTTTTTTTGATGATGAATTTACCTATCACAAATTTGTTGCACCTTTATTAAATTGCCTCGTTTAATGTAATGGGCAGATGCTGAGGAAATTAAGTAAACAACTCAGTGGTGAGGATTGGACATGGAACAATTTGAACACACTCTGCTGGGCAATTGGATCTATATCTGGTTCCATGATTGAAGAACAGGTACTGTGAACCTTATGGTATTTTATTGATTGACTTTATATCCGTATATTCACGGGTCGTTTTCAATATTAAATTTATGTACAACTTTTTTAATTTGTTGAGGCATTTCCATTATTGCGGTATCCCGTTGGTTATAAGATTTTTTATATATAAATTTTGTGGACATCCATACCGGTTTCAATGGTATCTCGATGGCATAGGGGTATACCTTGGAAGGAATATAGAATGTCTTAATTAGCGGCAGCGTCAAGCAAATTTTAATGATATCTCGATGGCATAGAGGTATACCTTGGAAGGCATATAGAATGTCTTAATTAGCAGCAGTGTCAAGCAATTTGACTTTTTTTGGATCCTCAACTACTCTTCCATGAATTGCTAATTTTTCTCTGCGCACACACATATTGGGTTGTTTTTGTCTTTTCTAGGTCTGATGAATGTGTAATATCACTTTCTCTACTGAGTCATTAAACTTGTTAACTGTATCCGTAATTCTTTTATGGCATTGTTTTATCAGTTTTGGTATTTTATTTCCCTATTTATGGTTAAACTTCATTCTTGGATTTGTGACAGGAAAACCGATTTTTGGTTATGGTAATTCGTGATTTATTAAATCTATGTGAAATCACGAAGGGAAAAGATAATAAAGCAGTTATTGCAAGTAATATCATGTAAGAAGTGTTTACATTTGCAATTTTTATTGTTTAATATTGTTGTTTTTTAGATATAATATTCCGTTGCTTCGGTTGGTAGGTACGTTGTTGGCCAGTATCCACGATTTTTAAGAGCTCATTGGAAGTTTCTTAAAACTGTTGTTAACAAGTTGTTCGAATTTATGCATGAGACACATCCTGGAGTTCAGGTTATTTTTTATCCTTTTGAAGCTTATTTTCTCCAAAGCTAGCTTGATTTTCTTATCTGCAATAATTTAAATATCTGATTAACCTGAACCTTGTCTTATTGATTAAAGCTTTCTGAGTTCAGACTAATTTTTCATATATAGTACTATATATAGCAACTTTGACAAGATACACTACATTCTCATGGCACATTATAACCTATTTAGCCCTCTAAATAAGCTAACTATTAAATCTGCTGAAAATTGAGCATCTTATTATTTTGTTTTAGTATTTTGCTGCAGTCATCAATTCTTTTTTCTCTCTATCTATTCTTGGAATTGTGGTTGGGGCACTAAATCATACAAAACCAGTGAATTTTTTTTACTTATAAAACATATTTCAAGACCATATCTTATCCAACATGTGACTCTTTAACAGACCCTCCCAAAACTAATGGGTTTGGTGTGTGGGGATATAAATGGTGGATGGCCGATAGCAAAAACATGATATCAGGTAGCCCAACAGATCTTAGATCGGCTCTGATATCATCTCAGAATTGTGGTTGAGCCTAGCTCAACCTTATAGAACGTTTAAAGTGAGGATTGCCCTGACTTATGAACATATTTCCAAGTCATCTATCATCCGATGAAGGACTCAACTCTTTAACTTCGATTATATATTATATACCGGTGAACACTGTCTAATTTATGGCTTGCAGGAGTATTATTCTAATCTATATTTACCTTATAATATCTGCATGTCTCTCTCTGTCAAATATTATAAAATAATCTGCATTACACTTTAAATAATGTAATATTCTGTTGATAATATATATTGATCCTGTTTCCATTGTTTTAGGATATGGCCTGTGACACTTTTTTGAAAATAGTTCAGAAGTGCAAGCGGAAGTTTGTGATCACCCAGGTAATAAGGACAATAATTTTCTTCCTTTTCTCATCCTTTTGAATTTAAATAAAAATGACTAATGCGTGTCCCACAATTCGTTCATTTATGTTAGTATGTGATGTAATCCATAACTGTCAAAGTAATTGCTTTTTCAGGTTGGCGAAAATGAGCCATTTGTATCGGAACTTCTATCGGGCCTTCCAATCACTATTGCAGATCTTGAACCCCATCAGATACATTCCTTCTATGAATCTGTATTCCTTTTAGATGCCTTAAACTCATTACTTAAATTTTCATATTTAATTATATATATATTTTTTCGTATATTCTATATCTATATTTATTCATGTGTCTGCAATATAAGTTATATTTTTGAAAATTGTAGGTTGCTCATATGGTTCAAGCAGAGTCTGATTCTCAAAAGAGAGATGAATATATTCAGCGGTTGATGGGGCTCCCTAATCAGGTCTTTTGCCTGCTTAAGAAGCCATGTCATTTGCCAAATGACTTTCATGTCTTATAATTAATGCCTGTGATATTGATTTTTATTCCTGCAGAAATGGATGGAAATTATTGGTCAGGCACATCAAAATGTTGAATTTTTGAAGGATCAGGATGTAATACGGACTGTACTTAATATACTGCAGGTATAGTTTTGTCTTTTTTTTGTTGTAATTTTGTGTCATTCTGCTGGATGTTCTTCATAACTTGCCGTGCATGCTAGGATGCCATTTGAATACTGAAATTTCATTTAATACTTTATTGCCCGACTTGTTTGTTTTTATTTTTCAGCATGTCAGTCCTTGTTAGAACACTTTATGTTGTTGGATTACATAGTTGATTACAAGCATGGGAAAGGAGTAGGGATGCATTTTCTTAGTTTTATTTTGGAATTTAAACAATTAGCATGTGACTTTGGTACCCACTGTTAATTGTTGCAAATTTTTATTCAAGGGAAAGTTGCCTTTATTCATTCACAACTTCTGTATTTTTATTGGTTTTTCTATGTCTTGATGTATAATTATTCTTAGAATTTTGATCGGGTATAACTCAACCATACAAAACCGGCGTGTATGGTGAAGATTGCCGCCACTTGAAAACATATGTTTAGATCATAGTCCATCCGATGTGACACTCTAAACACACCCCCTCACGCCCAACACTAAAGGGCTTAATGCGTGGATATAAATGATGTGGTGGTCCGATAGTGGAAACCGGATAACACATGGTCCAACGGATCTTGAACTAATCTCTGATCCCATATTAGAATTTTGACTGGGTCTAAACAGCCTTGTAATGTAAGGCGATGGTTGGTCCTTATAAACATATGCTCAAGCCATATTTCATTGTGTGGGACTCTTAACAATTATGATTGTAATAAATTCCAAGTCTTTCACTTCTATTTTTGTTGTTCTGCTACTTTATTTTGTTAATGTTGTGTTTTAATTCCTCCTAATTGCAGACGAATACAAGTGTTGCATCTTCTTTAGGGACATTTTTCCTTCCCCAAATCACATTGATCTTTTTGGACATGTTAAATGTGTACAGGTGTGTCCTGTTAACTGATAGTTTTTGTATCAGTTATGCTAATAATAGTTGATACAGAGCAATAAGTCGTTTGATTTGATTATTTTTTTTTATCGATATATGCTAAATAAGTTTTTTGGTTTTCAACAGAATGTACAGTGAGCTTATTTCAAAAAGTATTTCAGAAGGGGGACCTTATGCATCTAAAACATCCTATGTGAAGCTTCTACGGTAAGATTAATTGTGATTATATTGGTTTTTATAAATATGATGACTGTTCAGTCCCTTTTTATGTATTTTCTTCGTAATGCAGTTCGGTTAAGAGAGAGACACTTAAATTAATTGAGACATTCTTGGATAAGGCTGAAGATCAACCCCAGATTGGAAAGCAATTTGTGCCACCAATGATGGATCCTGTTCTGGGAGATTATGCTAGGAATGTTCCCGATGCAAGGGAATCAGAGGTTTTGTCCCTTTTTGCCACAATAGTAAACAAGTATGCTTCTTTCTCTTTTTTCTACTTATTTATTTTGTTGATTGCGTTACGGTGCTTTGGAATCTGGCATTATGCATGCTTATGTTCTGCTACTTCCCGTGGTTTATTTAATATGCACATGTTTCACTCATTTTTGTCTATCCCTCTTACTTCCAGATATAAGGCTACCATGATTGAAGATGTACCTCGGATATTTGAAGCTGTCTTTCAGTGCACACTAGAGGTAATTGTGCAGAATATTCAGCTTTGTAAATGTTCTAGTTTTTTGTTTTTTTTATTATTATTGTTATTGTTGTTATTATTATTATTATTATTATTATTATTATTATTATTATTATTATTATTATGTGGTTGGTGGCCCTTGTGTTTGATATCCACCGTGGAATATACTAATTCCTTTGATTTGAATATTTTTAGCTTTGAAATAAAATAGCCATGGTCATGTATTTAGATCATGGACTTGTGTTTACAAATCTAAATGCAAATTAAATATATTTTGATAAAACTTCTAGTTTTATTGTTACAAGAAATGTTAATTTACAGTAAAAATTTTAGTGATTATTTGAAGATTCAAAATTTACAATAATTTACATTAATTTTGATTTCACATCTTTTTATTCTGAGTTGTTTGACTTTAAAGTTGTAAATTTTAATAACTTAATGACAAATAGTTATTGGGTATATAAATATGACTGCTAAACTATCAACTAAACTATATTTTTCTTTTTATTCTGATTCGCAGATGATTACAAAAAATTTCGAGGATTACCCAGAGCACCGGCTTAAGTTCTTCTCTCTGCTCCGTGCCATAGCTACTCACTGTTTTCCTGCACTAATCTGCTTGTCAAGTCAGGTTTTTTTCTTCCCCTTTTTCCACAACAAATCAGTGGCATGTCAGCTTTTTTAGTGTATGAGGTATTAACTGCACCTGCTTGTCAAAATTTGCAATCTCTGTAATCTGTCTGATATTTTTGGGTTCATGTGTCAGCAATTGAAGCTTGTTATGGATTCAATCATGTGGGCATTTCGGCATACAGAAAGGAATATTGCTGAAACTGGTCTGAACCTGTTGCTGGAGATGCTGAAGAAGTTTCAGGTGTGGTTTTTCTGTGCAAATACTTTGCATCCTAACCGGCACAGGGGTTTTCTTCATACTCTGTGTACAGGTTTTCCTGTTTTTGAGGACTTCTTATCTTTGTTGCACTTAGTCTTTTTATCAATGATAAATTTTATCTTCCATTCATGACAAAGTTATTGCCACTTCTGCGTATATAACCATTTTATTTATTTTGACTGAATGCGTTATTTTACAACAGGGCTCAGAGTTCTGTAATCAGTTCTACCGGACATATTTCTTGACAACTGAAAATGAGATATTTGCTGTCTTAACTGATACTTTTCATAAGCCTGGGTTCAAATTACATGTCTTGGTGCTTCAGCATTTGTTTTGTCTGGTACAGTGTCATAGTCATACTTTTTTTGTTCAATTTTTGTATCTCAATTTTAGCAAGAGCACACATAATGAGTTTGATCTTTCAGGTGGAAACTGGTCTGCTAACCGAGCCCCTCTGGGATGTTACTACAACTTCATATTCATACTCAAATAATGCAGCTTTTGTACGCGAGTACACTATAAAGCTTCTAACTGCTTCTTTCCCTAATATGACAACAGCTGAGGTAATTGAAGAGATAAACAATATTTATTTCCCTTTTGCTAGGACGAATGGCTAATTTCGACAAATTTGCAGGTTACCCAATTTGTTAATGGGCTCTTCAAGTCTACAACTGATCTCTCTACATTTAAAACTCATATACGAGATTTTCTTATACAGTCAAAAGAATTTTCAGCTCAGGTAATGCTTTATTTAGTATTGCTAACTTGTGCTGAATTCAGGTGTTTTTTGGGCTAAAGCAACAATTTGAGAAGTTTTTTTTGGACTCCTATAAGTTGAACCATTAAATCTTGTAATTTAAGTTTATTCACATGATTGTTTCTATGATCATTGTATTAGCTCATTGCTACAGTTTTTGATGTTTCTAAGCCTTTTCATGTTCACCCTAGTAAATTGTTGATTGTATTCCTTTCCTTTCCTGCCTCTACTATGTCACATATCTGATTTTGTCATCCTCTGTATCTCAGGATAACAAAGATCTCTACGCAGAGGAGGCTGCAGCACAGAGAGAGAGGGAACGACAAAGAATGCTTTCTATTCCGGGGCTGATAGCGCCAAGCGAGTTGCAAGATGAAATGGTGGACTCATAGGTCAATTAAGTTGCAAGACGAAATAGTGGACTCATAGGTAGATTAAACAGCGTGGAAGTTAATATTAATACCATGGGCATTTTAGTGTATTTCACAGGCTCCGTGATTCAATCAATTAACAGTGACTGAGAATAGGTGCAACTTTTTTCTCAAAGTTAAGTTTTTACTCTCTTCCCAATATTTTATGTTGGGACTGGTTTGGCAGGTTTTTCAGAATTTTACCTAGCCGGCAATATAGCCATGTCCATGGGGTGAGTGTAGATTATTAATATACTAATCGAGGATGATAATGTTGGGTTATTTGTAAGAAATTCATGAAGGCATCTTTGTATTGAACGAAGATGGAGGTCTCGTTTGAAGTGATGATGACTATTTAGGGGGCGACCTCCTAACTTTTGGCGGTTTGTGCAGAAAACCCTTGTGGTTTTATATTTTGTATTTTTCTCTTCAATTAATACTTAGGGATATTGATGTACTGAGTGCACTTAATATTTAGTGTTATGTGCCCATTCGTCTCAATAGAGAGAAGATATTATTTTACATCTATACTTTCTGGCTTCAATTCTCTAGTACGCCAGCCAATTAGCATACCTAATCAGACCAGCTACTATTGATAATTTTCATAAGTTTAATGTTTCTATGATCTGATAATGCTTTTCTTAAAATCGGCGTAATCATATCATCCACTATGATAAATGGCGAATACGATAGTTTTGATAAAATTAGTTTGATAAGTGTCAAATATGATTATTTTTAACGAATTTCAAAAGAAAAAAATATAAATAGGCTAGAGGCCTGAAGTTAGGTCGGATAAAAAAGGTTAACTATGTTTCATAGACTTGTTTGAGTTGAACATTACATTTTTGAATACCTGTACCCTTGTGTCCAGGCATTTTGCGGTGCTGATACCATTTTGACTTATCTATCACATGTGATTTTAGGTGCTGAGACTTCCGACTTTCGAAAATGATTTTCTTAATATCGTGAAATCTTTGCATAAGATTATAAAATCATTAATATATTTTTAAAATTTGAATAGTATAATAGTACAAATGATATTTAAACAAATTGTTTAAGTCTTTCAAATCGTTTTAATATGAGTTTTTTTTATTATTTTAAATTAGGGAGGAGATTTTGGATTTTGAATATAAATAAATTTTCTAAATCGCTACCACATAAATCCTTCTATTCTATTTACTAAATCCTAAACAAAACTTTAGAAAACTTTTGCCTTTTTTTTTCTTTCTTTTTTTCTGGAGCTTTGTGTTGATTCATTCTTGTAAAATACGTTCTCTAGGAGTGTTTAGGAATGTGGATTTTTTCACCTTGTGAAAGATGTCTTTGTATATCTCTTGGATTTTCTTTCTTTTTGCTTTTTTCCATGCAATTTTAATTCCTCTTGGGGCTTTAGCCTTTTTTTTGCGAAATTTTGTGTTTGACACTCTTGTAAAATAGTTTCTGCTTTTAGCATTAGAAATAAGATTAAGGCTTGGGATTATCTCATATCCTATTGACGTAATTCAGTCTCATGTAACTCACCTAACAAAATTCAATTAATCCTAATTGAATTCAATTTAGAATTAAGTACTAAGTAACGAAATTTAATTAATTTTAATTGAATTCAATTTAGAATAACTAATAAGGTCTTATATATAAAGTTATACGTAACAAATTCTAGTTAAATGACTAGCGTCTAGACGGAAACTTGTTTGTCAGTTTTTTTAATATTTAGACCTGTTCGGGCTGACGCTTAGCCCACGCTCGTGTAGGCTCTGAGGCTAGGCCAAATGAGACTACACTGACGGGAAGGGACCCGTCGGGCACAACCATCCTCCTCCGTTGGACACATGCCTTCAACTGTCGGACATGACTCTCGCGGTCGACCAAGAGGTCTCTGTCTCTGTACTTGCTTCCACTATGCTCGTCACTTACTTTGGCATCATAGTGTGTTTCAGGTACACCCCCCATCCTCTTCCATATCTTCGGTGGACATCTAGCGGATCAACGACGCATGACAGGTCACTGATTCCTTTCTGATCAAGTAAGATCAGTGGCATCGTCTGTGGTTACCTAAGCTTTTCCGTTCCTCCGAGCAGAGAACCAAAACTTTCTCCTTTCAAATTTTAAAGATCACGACTTGCCCACGCCATGACGACATTGTTCACAACTCCGCCCACGTCCCCTTCACCACAGCGAATACCAGACGGGGACATATCAACCCCGCGAAACTGACGTTAGGGACGGTCAAACTGCCTCCCCTTCGCTCGAAGAGGCCGCCCACCAGGTCATTCCTCGAGCGAGGAGTCCGTCGGTTTTTCAGCCCGTTCCTACGCCAGTTGGGGCGGACCCAACGATGGTTGCCCTCTTCATAGCCATCAACCAGACGAATCAGATATTGTTCCAGCAGAATGAGCGCATCGACGTACTGGAACACGACACTTTGTCCCGCTCCCCCCCCCCTCAACCGCGGGGAATTCAACCAGGGAACTTTCGGAGCCCCTATCCCTAACCACGGAGGTGCCGACCACAGCTGGAGAGGCCCCAACCCGTGGTCTCCAAGAAGTGAGCAAGGTCACCACCCCGGAAGGAGAGGCGCTCCCCGGCGAGCAGGCCAGAAGCCCCGGACAGACGACCGAGGGTGTGAACAACCTCCTCGACACGGGCCGTCACCTCCACAATCCCCAGTCCGCAGCGACGAGGACGATTATAGAACTCCTCTGTCTCGGGAAATCATGGCGACCCCTATCCCCCACGGGATGGAGAAACCACCCGTGCTCTCGATGTACGACAACACCTCGGATTCCAGACGACCATTTGGAAGACATCGAGGCCATGCTGACTACAGGAACGTCCGGGGAGCCATGAAGTGTATATTCTTCCCGACGACATTAAGAAAGGGCGCCATGGCGTGGTACAAGAGCTTGGAGCCCGAGTCCATCACGTTGTGGAGAGTCCTGAAGGACCTATTCCCGCGGCACATCACGATGTCAAGGCCATGGGAATACGTGGAGTTCAAGGTCACTTTCGGGGAGAAGGAATCGGCTAGAGAAATCAACGTCCGTTTTCTGGCCGTCGAGTGCCCATCTCTATAAAACTGCATCCTGGGCAGAACAATGATGGGCGAGCTCACTGCAGTACCGTCGACCGTCCACTAGTAGATGACATACTACACCAGGCTAGGGGCCGTCGTCACTCTCAATGGGAACATCGAAACTGCCCTTCGATGCTTCGAAGCAGCGATGAAGGGCCTTAGTACAATCGGTTTTGCGACCAAAGCAACCAAGCCCTCCCCCGTTTAGGAGAGCGAACCAAATGATAACGTCGACACCGTAGACCTCGACTGCCGTATCTCCGAAGAGCTAGAGCACGAGGACAAAGCCAACAACATTCCCTTATCCACCAACGGGTAACCCATTCACCCAACGCGCCTCATCCCAGACAGGGAGTTCGAGATCGTGACCCTCGGGGCAGACACAACGAAGATCGTGATGATCGGGGCAGGGCTGTCCAACCTGGTGAGGAAGCAGCTGAAGGCCTGCATCTGTGCGAACACCGACCTCTTTGCTTGGGGCGCCGCAGAGATTCCCGGACTCGACCCTGAGGTCGCCTGTCACCAGCTCTCCGTCAACCCGACCGCTAGGGCCGTAGTACAACGTAGGCGTAGGCAGTCTCTCGAAAAGTCAGCGGCTGCTGAAAAAGCTGTAAAAGTCCTCCTAAAGGCAAATTTTATTTCGAAAGTCCGGTATTCAACCTGGTTGTCCAACGTTGTATTAGTTAAGAAGTCTAATGGGAAATGGAGGATGTGCGTTGACTACACAGATCTCAACCAGGCATGTCCTAAGGACGCCTATCCCCTCCTCAACATCGACAAGCTCGTCGACAACTCGACGGGCTTCAAACTACTGTCCTTCATGGACGCGTATCCGGGGTACAACCAGATCCCCATGGTCGAGGTCGACAAACAAAGCACGGAGTTTATGACCAAGTCGGGCAACTACTACTACAACGTAATGCCCTTCGACCTAAAATACGTCGGCGCCACCTACCAACGGATGATGAACAAAGTATTCCGAGGAGAGATTGGCGACATTCTCGAGGTCTACATGGACGATATGATCGTCAAGTCTGTAGAATCAAGATTCAAATCCTTTAAGTTTTGATGACGACAACTGATCCAGGCTTGGCTCGTATGAAGTTTTACACTATATACCTGTGGGGGTATATACACTATGGAACTATTTGCACTATATATTCGTGGGGGTATATACACCAAAAGCAAATCAAGAGTATTTTTATTTGTGAACTCTTCATCAAAGCAAGAAATGCAAGCATGTCATCAAGACTCAAGCTTATTCCATAATTGTAAAAAGTCAAAGCTTTCAAATTAATCAAGATCAAGACTATGCAAGACTGTCTGCAAATCAAGCTACATGAGAAAATGATGATACATCTGTCAAGACTTGGACACAAGGCTGGTATATCAAAATTCTCTCTTTAATTGATATACAAGTGTTCAAAATATTCTTCATTTTTGCATACTACATTGGCATGATTTTAAAATCTTTAAAATTGGTATAACACATTTTAATTAAAGTATTTTTCTGAAATTTTACAGTGTTAACCGATTAACCATATGGGTTAATCGATTAACAACATTAAAATTTAAATTCTTTGGGCTAACGTTCATGTGTTAACCGATTAACCTATATGGTTAACCGATTAACACTTAACGAATTTTGAAAAATTTGTTCTTTGAAAATTCAAATGATGTTTGAATGTTATACCTTTCCATGATTTAACTCATACTCAATCATATCTTTTTGAAATGGTGTTTGGCTCATTTAAATTCAGAAAATTTCAAATTAACAAACATCTCCAATAATTTTCAAAATATTCATTGAATCAAATTCACTAAAATTCAAATATTTTCAAAATGTTCATATTGTTCATATTTTTCATATTCATAACATTGAACACTTGTCTTGAGATTAAAGAGTGAA